CCGGACAGTTTCTGAGATTTATGGGTCCTGTCCTCTTCCCATGAAATGCTTGGGAGGTTTTGAATAATTTCCTTCTTCTTCATTTATTTATTTTTAATTTTATTTAATGCATTTTTATTTTTACTTTTTTTTTTTTTTTTTTTTTTTTTAATAAAGTCCAGGCCAAAATTTCTCCTTATCGTACAGAGCTATTGTTGGCCACTATTGTTTTTATTATCTCAGAGATTCTCTGGGAAGAGAAGGATGGGCAGGACCTCAGTGACAGTGCCAGAGCCTGCTGTCAGTGGCCATGCCTGCTCCCCAGGAGGTCACAGGAAGCAGGTGGCTGTATTAATTGTCCTTACTCCCAACTCTTGTCCTTCCTGGAGGCAATTTAGAAGTGGTCAGGAAGTGTCAGATCTGCTGTGTCCCCCTCCATGTTCTCTACGTCGCACATCTGTAATAACTGGAGGCATGTGCCAGGCAAGGGAAACTGCATAGGAATCCTATTGGCCTTTCTCAGTTGTGTAGACTGCTGGCTGGAAAGGCCAAGTACTGTGTATGTGAGGGTTGGCAGGTGAAATCCAGCAAAATAACTAATGTTATTAAAACAAAACAATTACAGTGAAGAGAAGACATTTCCTTAACATTCAGTACTTTTTTTCTTTCGACCTGTTGATAGAGGTGCTACATAAGAAAATACAAAAAATCATTGGTATATGAAGTATTTGATCCACTTTTATCTGTTGAGTGGAGGACAGGGAAGGAAAACACCTTTTCTGCTCAGGCCACTCTGCTTTTAGTGCACTGTATTGCATTTACATGGTCAGTATTCTTGGTCCCATGTTGGCATTCAGTGCTGTGCTTTGGAAGACACAAACAGGCACAGCACTGCTGAGTATTTCACTGCAAGCATTGCTCCCAGTGTTGTAACACAGGTTTTGAGCTACCAGTAACATTTCTTTAAGTGTCTTTTGGAAAGCATCCACTCACACTGGAAGTTGTGTGAGTTGAATAATAAATATCATGAAAGTTATTTGTCTGCCACATGCATTTGAGAGGAAATGGAGAAGCTTCTGTTCAGGTATACTCTTGCTTTTACTAAGACTACTTGCCCAAGTGGGGTGGGCTGCAGGATTCTGTGGCTGGTGAATCATGCTAGTTTCTGAATCACTCTTAGAAAATACCAGCTTGAAATATGAACAAATAATGAGTACTTTATGCCTAAACTTGTATGTTATATACAGAATAGCAAAATAGCATTTTAAAGTAGAATATTTGGTAAAGGGTTCATTAAAATAGGCTTCACAATTTAGTTCTATCAAAGCCATTTTACTACAAAAAGTATTCTCATCAGACGGGAGAAGGTATCAGTGTTCCTGTAAGAATATCTGATTTTTATTCAGCTACTTTCTGTGGGATTAAGCTCCCTTCTTTTCTGTGTGAGATCAGCTGACAGCAGCAGCAACCAAATTGTGTTTGCAGCTGGGCAATTACAGTAGACCCTAAGATCTGTGACTGTCAACCATGAACACAGATGCCTTCAAAGTTCTGTTTTCCTTCCATGTGGAAGTCGTTGGCATGGAACAGATGCCTTCATTTTGGAGAAACCAACCTCTGGATATAATTGGTTCTCTCTTCTCTTGTCCTCTAGGGACAGTCTCACAGATGAAATTAGATGAGAGGAAGAAAAAGATGCAGGCACACACATACTCACACATGACATGAAGCAAGAGTTTTCAGGGTCTCTCTGTTTTCTCACATGGAACTGTTTTACAGCTGGAAGATTAATCTCCATTCTTTGCACTCTACACACGATGATTCTGCCGTCTGAAAAACATGCAATTTAAATGTATATCTGGCTCAAGTTTATTATTAATTGAAGCATGCGTGTTTAGAAATAAGACCAGTACGTCCAATTCTTATTGACTCAGAGTGAAATGTTGAATCCTGCGCTCTTGATAGATGCTGCAGTCTCAGAAATTCAGAGTTAAATGGCAGAGTAGACAAGATGATTTAAAAACAATCCAAATTTTGGTTGGAGTGATAGGATCAAACTGTTTCCATCATCCAGTTTACTAGTTGTTGACATAGGATGAAAAAAGGCATATGCAGCAAGTAGTTTATTTCAAATGCCATCACGCATGCAGGCATTCCATTGAGAAAATGCATTTAAAGGAATTAGCCTGATGAACACCCATGATAGGCCATTGCTGAGAAGTCGAGTCCTAAGGAGATTCTCCTGCTGTTGATTCTTAAAATCAACAGATTCAGAAGGGCAGAGCTGGAGGGCTGACAGCCTGGGCACCTGATGTCTTTGAAGGCTTTCTTCAGTTTCATTTCCAAACAAATGCTTTTTTTTTCTTTTTCTTCTTTTTTTTTTTTTTTTTTTCTTTCTTCATCTTGCAGTTTAATGTGAGAGTCCAGTCTGAGCACCAAGTGTAAAATTTGTCTGGGTAGATGAGGTGCCTGAGGTAGGAGCATGGTGTTTTGAAGAGGCAGAGTTCTTGTGACAGCGTGAGCTCTGCTGGTAGTGTATCTGTGACCTGAATCCTGAACTCGATATTCAGTCTCAATTTACATATTCTTCTTCAGCAGTTTCTACTGCTGTAGAAAAGGAGGGAGGATTTAGGTTGGATATCAGGGAGAAGTTCTTTACTATGAGAGTGGTGAGGTGCTCGAACAGGCTGCCGGGAGAGGTTGTGGATGCCCCGTCCCTGGAGGTGTTCAAGGCCAGATTGCATGGGGCCCTGGGCAGCCTGGACTGGTATTAAATGTGGAAGTTGGTGGCCCTGCCTGTGGCAGGGGGTTGGAGATTCATGATCCTTGAGGTCCCTTCCAACCCTGACCATTCTGTGATTCTGTGATTCTATTTCCATCTCTGAATGTTGTGCAGGAAAGTCACTAGCAATGAAAATGTGTAGGAGATGTCCTGGTCTGCCTTGCCTGGTAAAATGCAAGCTATGTTTAAGAGTCTTGATGTAAACATATAGCTGGAGCGCATTGTGTTCTTTTTTTCTGACACTGAGATCTGTATGTGTGGAAGACATTCATTAGGACTTCCAGTAGTTAGGCATTCATTTGGACTTTCAGTAGTTAGGAGGAGGCCTGGAACAGACTGAACATTTTGAGCAGATGATACTTTCCGGTTTTATAACAGATTGGGAGGTTCTTTCTTACAGCTCTAATCTGCAGAGTTTGAGCACAACAATGTGCTTTTTGCATTGTAGTTCTGAAGAACCACATATTACAGGAAAAATTTAACCAGAAAAGTGCTTAGGTGATGAAGAGATTTCTGGCAGTAACTGAGAAGTGCAATAGTGGTTGATTTCTTTTGAGGCTGATTCTGATATTTGTAGTCTTTACATCCTATTAATTCCTTGAAAGATAAGCTGATACAAGAATGATTTGCCAGGGCCAATGGCTCTTCTTAATAACTTGGCTCAGGTTATATCACCCCCTCTCTATATATAAGATAAAAGCACTGTGAATATGAGGTTAACTGAATTCAAATAGAAGTCTCTCTCGAGTTATTGCATTCCTTAGAAAATAAATACATTTCTCATATGGTTGAGATTGATCAAAAAAGTATTCTGTATGCCAGTGATTACATTCCCATCTGTGATTAAGGTTTTCTGTCTGCATCTGGTTTTCACATTATATTTCTGTAACAAGAATCCTTTATATGGCAGAGTTCACTCTCTGTATTTTCTATTAGCTGCAGCTTGAACTACTGCATGGATCGCAGATTTACACATGTGGTTTTCATTACTTCATACCATTGAGAAAAAGTAATATTTGTTTGGGAAAGTATGTTTTTCAAAATTTCCATGGTAATACAACATGTTGATCCTTTTTTATAACACTCTTGTAAGACTACAAATTGTTTGAGGTATTCTGCTTTCAGTGAAGTTCAGACTTTAGACAATTTTGCATGTACTTCCCAGAGACAACAACTGTTTACGCATTGGGAAGCAAAAATGCATTATAAAAGGCAGATTACTGTGGAATGGGTATAGCAGAAAGCATCCATCACTTTAGAAAATGTGGTATGTAGAGAAAATGAACTTGAGGCTGTAACAAAGGAAGAACAGTAGATTAAAGTGGTGTCTCCACTGTGGGCCACAGATGGGTACTTTTCTTGATTATTTTTTTTTTTTTTTTTTTTATTCTTGAGTAAGAACTTATTGTGGTACAGTAAGGGATTTAAAAACCTTTTGAAGAGAAGCATGCTATTTAGTAGACAAAAATAGTGAATTGTTACAGATTACAAAATTTAACATATTTGATCTTAATTATTTCTAGTGGCCAAATTAGTGAAGGTTAACAAAACATGAATACATCTTTACAGATGGCTGCTGTGTGTAATTCTGAATCCGGAATATGATGCTAATTTACTGTTCCACTGTAAACCCATATTTCAACCAGATTGTGCTATCGTCACTCAGTAGAAAACTTAATGTTTAAATGAGCTCAGTGAAATTAATAGGGCCACTTGGTCAGTGAAGTATTTTTCAGCTTTGCTAGTGGCAAGAGTTTATGGCTGTAACACTCAAATCAAACAATAATGGCAGTTTAGGGAATGTTGTGTGCATTTGTGTAAGTGTAATGTGTTATGCAGAAGTCTGAGGTTTTGAAAAATACAGAATTCAGATAAGGCACTGTGGAAAGGTAATTTTGAATGCCAGAGTATGTACATGGTGACAACTACAGAATTTCCAAATGGTAATAATAATTTTAGAAAAAATAATTATTGCACCCTACTGGGGTAGTCCTAACCCTGTTTTGGCAGTTGTTTCCCAGATTTCCAAAAGCAATTGTGTCATATTGAAAGTGAACAGTTGCCAAGTGCTGGGTACAGTCCCACATTCCCCTTACGCCTCTTGAAATAGCAGGGCTTTGGCTCAGGCCAGGGCTGCAGAGAAACATATTTTTTTTTTTGTGGGGAAGATTGCAGTTCTGAGCATCAGTACAAATGTCATCATTTGAAAATGCCCTCAGGTGATCCATTTTTTTTGCAGCATAATCTAGTCCAGGAGGCAGTCCGGGCTGGGTCCTTGGGTAGATGCATGCGGCTGTGGCCAGATCCTTCTGCATGCTTAACTGTATGTCCTGAAACACCTGAGCGAGCAGTGGATGCGGACTGTAGCATGGACATAACTGCGTGCCTGGCTCTCAAACCTCTCTGCCTTGACATAATTATGAACCCTGGAAAGCATATTAATGTCTTGGAAAAACTGACAGCGCTGTCATATAGGCTCATACTAATGAGAAAGTATTTGTGTAACCCAAATAAACAGCTCATGTAGGTGTTGGAGTGGGAGAGAAATTGCCTTTTCAGAAGTGGGAGGATGACTTGTAAATATATCCAATACCTTTTTGATCTGTCTTTCTTAAAATGTGTTTGCTGTTATGACTTACAAATTCATATAGTGTTGTGTAATTGCAAGGTTTCTATTTTCAGTAACCTCATTCATTTAATAAATTATTCTCTAGGGCTTCTGTTCAACCAGGTAAAGTATGTAATATTTTATATCATATTAATGCATCTAAAACCAGTCATTTTTACAGAATTAGTAAATAAGAGGCATGCAGGCTGCTCTGACTTTGTTGCCCTTTATATATTCACAGATGAAAATGGGCAACTTCTTAAGCAGCCTTTGTCAAAGAATTAATATGGTATTAAAGCACTGCCTTATATTAACTAAGAAAATGTGGGTAGTTGATTTAGTATGATAGCTGGTCTGTCTTCCCTCTTTATTTAAAAGACTGCTATTATCATGCAAATGAAGGGGTGTGGTACTTCAAACTGGCTGTGATATGTGCTTTTTTTTTTCTTTTTCTTTTCTTTTTTCTTTTTTTTCGTTTGTTGTTGTCAATAGAAAAGATTGATCTCTGGACTGGTGAACATAATATCTGTCCCAGTCAGAAAAGGAAAGAGGAAATTAGCAGAGCGGTTGGTGGAGAATGATATCTGTCAAAAGAAACACTTGGAGAGCACTGAGTTTAGTGATAGGTGACTGCCGGAAAAAAGGGAACTTTGAATTTTGTCAAGGTAAGGAACAGAAACATATTTGATTTTATAATGTGCATACCTTGTAGAAGAAGTTATTTCTAATGACTGTACCTTGCGGTGTAAACTGTAATTTAAGCAGAAATCTTTGCCCTTAGCCTCCTAAGAGTCTGCCTAAGTCAATCAAGGTGATGCCATCATTTTAATATCACTGAAAGAGTACAGCTGTAACAATGAAATCCTTCAGTGATGACTTTTCTAAAATTGTTCTTTTCTTGTAAATACATCTATGTGCAATCTTTAACTACATTTCCTGTATTTTTGATGCCACAGGTACGTTTTATCTGGCATATAAATATTGTTTTACTGGGCTGTAAAAATAATGAAGTTCAGTTTACTGCACTGTGAATTGGAACAGTATTTGCAACCAGGTTAAGGGACAGTTGTAATTATGTTGGCCAAATGGTTGTCTTTAGAATTTAGAGGAAGCCTCTGGTGAACTCATTGCATTGGGAATCTGGGTTAAATTTGATTCAGGAAGTTTTGGGGATGAATATTTCAGTTTCTTGCATGCAAAAGTTTTTACTACAGTTGAAAAGTAAATCTGTGATGGCAGAACAACTCTTCTACTTAACTTATGACTGTCATTCCTGTTTTTACTGAAACTGCATTTTTTCTCCTAAAATGGTGTCTAGATAGCAAGAAAGTACTAAACTCAGTTTAAGTGCTTTCCAACATTCTTGATACTGTCCTTTTTTAGTGTTGGACCGTTTTGCCTCTGACATAACTTTGATGGAGTATGATATCAAAATAAAGTGAACAAGAAGTCTGAGTACTTTGGGCTGTGCTCTGGTTTATTTTGAAAGCAGCTGAAGCCTGGTTTTTTGTCCCTAGCCTCTCTACGTGAGACATTGCCTACTCAGGGCCCCACAGTACTGTATGGATGCTGTAGTGCAAGGAGATTTACACGCTGTAGAGGCTTTGTGCGTTTCTGTGGACGAAGTTAAAGAAAAATAAATCCTATTAAAAATGAATTGGTATTCTAAATTGAGTTTCTAGTTTGATTTAAAGCAAGTCATTGTATCTCTATGATCTTCCTTTACACAGACAGTGTGGAAAAGAAAGCATATTCTTAGCAGACTTTCTTGTTTGCATTTTTATTTTGCTGATTTCACAGTGTATATCTTCTAATTACCCTCTTTTCTTCTATCTGCAGTCCAGTTTTCAAAGTGCAAGTGTACCCCATATGGGTGGTTGTTGGTTGATTTCTTCTGCAATGTAGGTCTTCATAAAAGAGTTCAAAAATAAATATATGTAAAAGTAAAGATTTCACGCCTCAAGCATGCAGTGCTGGCATACTAATGTGAAGCTTATTGTAGTTTCTTGCTGTCAGAGCACGTGCAAGATAATGGAAATTTTCTACAACTTAGGAGAGAGACGTGTTTTCTAATACTGATCATTTTTACTAGAAAGAGAGATTGCATAGGGCTGAAAATCACATCATCTTTATAAAGCCCAAATGATCTTCTCATACTACTGAAATATTCATTAAATAGGAGGGAACAGAACGTTACCTGTCCCATTAACTACTGGGCAGATCAGACTACCCATATCACCTGGGAGCAGGTGCGTCTTCACTACCATTACAAAGTTGCTGTATCCTAAACAGTTCCCTCTCCTTGCAATCCTATCAATCTAGCTTTATACCAAAAGAAGTACATTGTCTCTGTAGCAAAACTTACATAGTTAACCATAATTTTTGTCTTAGTGAAAAAGTTGATCCAAAACTGCCTTGCAACAGTTTTGTAGAAAAGACAGCAATGGGTGATGATGAGTAATTGATAGATCTTTGGGCATTCCCATTTTGAGATATATTTGAATTGAGATGGTTGAGTAAGTTACTTAAATCTAGGTGTATATGTTTGTAACACATTGAAGAATTTTAGTCTTAAGTGGCCCAGATGCTCCACACTGAAATTTGGATGAGTGACTTGAGAGATGTGCCTAACACTCTTTTGAAATCCATCAAAAAGCTTCTGTTTCATTACCCTAGATAGTTTTGTCTTTTATATTATAGCAACTTTCAGCCCACTTCAATGGATGTTTTGGCAGACAACGCCTTTTCAGATTACGTGATGTAGAAACCTACATTAAAAGCAGAGGTAGGTCAGAGCTGAATAACTGTTCTCATAGCAGTGTCTAAGCTCATCTTAATTCAGTGTGGATTTTGCTGTGCCCAGAAAGATTTGACTTACTATTTGAAACCAAAAATGGGATAAAAGGCAAGACAAGAAGTGGCTGAGACTATAGTTTTCTTGTAGCAGTGGCCTCTACCTATGCTTATGGTGATCCTAACCTTTCTTCTGCTCCTGTAATGTCGTCTTTTTCTTGGTTTTCCTTTTTTGGTCTTTATATCAATTGTTTGCGTACTTACACATCTCAGAGTCCACTTGAAGTAATAATTTCCCCCTTCTAACATAGAACAGATATAATAAGGTTCTTGGGGACGAGTGCATTACAGACACAGGATTATCATTACTCAACTCACAATCAGGTCTTCATCTGTTCATGTGGTGCACACCTGTGGCTGGCTGGTATGAGAGATCTTAATGAAAAACAAAGGCTGGATGACAAGAAGAGATTCTACAGTATGCATGGGTTTCTTCACATGTTGTAAGAAAGTGAAATTCTGAGATGAGGGAGGGAGCCCAAGCGACTCTACACAGAGAAGTAGGGCCTTGTTTATCACTGACTTGCAAATGATGTTTTTTTGGGGGAGGTCAGGTTGATTTGGAGTGTTTGGGAGTGGTGGCCGTTTTCTTCAGTTTACTTTCTGAGCCAAGAGGAACATTCTGGGCAGGGATCCACCTTTTGAATTACAAAGAAAATAACCCATAATCTATATAAAACACTGGTGGACAGTGAAGGGAGGAAATTCACAGAGAATAACTGAGTTTGAGAGCACCTATGTTAAAAGCAGTAAGGGTGACCATATGGCACTTATATTTATTTTAATTTGAAAATTACAATCTTAGAAACCTTTGAGATGAACAGACTGTGACAATAGGATGTATTTATTACTAAACTGAAACAAAGCACTTCAGCTGAAGTTCCATATCCAAAGTGAATTTCTGAGTGTGCAGAGGTTGATTTCCCTTTTTTCCTTCTTGGTGAGGTGCTGTGGCTCTGATAACATTAATGGGCTTTGCCCCACGTGGAGCAGCAAGTGTATTGTAGCACTGCTCACTGATCCCAGGTCAGTGTGATGCGTGAAATCAATTTATTTGAATCTCTTTGCCTGTATAGGAATTTGGCGGCGTGCCAGTTGTTTTCATTTAATGTTCTTTGTGTTGAACACAGACAAGCAGGCACGCTTTTGTGCTCCTCTTTCTTTTGGTCTCTCTCTCTCTCTCAGCCAATATTCTATTCTGTGGGTTTTCAGAAGAAGCAAGAATATGTTACCCTTTCTAAAAGCATTTTGTTTAAATAGTATTTAAAGAGCATAGAAACTGGGTCAGCCAGCGAGCAGCATGTGCAGGGCTTTCACAGACTATAGGTGGTAGCACCTGCCTTCTACCATTTCTTAAATTTTGGAAAAAAGAAAGGGAGAGGAGACACTGGCTTATTTTTTTTTCCTGATTGTATGATTTATATCATTATGTAAAGCAAAGACTCAGAAAGTGAAATAGATGGTTGGATGGATGAATCAGAGAGACTTTTCAGGATCTTTCTCATTTTGAGTAATGACCTGAACGTAAGCATTAATTCATGATTTCTTTGTCTCGCACGTTCTCTTCCTCCAGGTAGCATTATGAGTAAATCTGAGGAACAGCTCTCAGAAAGTAACAGTCTCCTTCCTTTTTCCCTCTTCATATGAAAAAGCAGCAAGGCATGTGGAACAGTAAGCAATTTAGCCCTTCTTAAACAGCAAAAGGAGTGGACAGTGGCAGCACATAATTCTGGGAGGGTTCATTTTAGAGCTTGGCACTGGGAGAGAGGGGAGCAGAGCAGAAGACTGTTGATGCTGCAGGCAGTCCTTGCGGAAGTTGATAGGCAGAAGTGTGGAGCCGCAGCGCAGGGGTCAGACTCGTACACATCAGCCCGGTTTCCTTGTTTAATTACCTGAAGAGCAAAACATCCAGGCTGAGAGTGTGTGAAAGTGCAGTATCTCGAGCCGCAGTTTGCCGCTCTGACATCCTGCGAGGCCAGCCCTGTCTGTCCACACACGTCAGGGCCGGTTCCTGACAGCGGGCTATCTCTGCCGGGCCTGGGTTCCTTCCATTCAGGAGGCATTGTGTGCAGGAGGGCTTGGTCAGGAATCTGAGGTTCCTGCCGGTTCTTCCAGCCCGGACAACGCTGTGACAGATAGGCCTGATTTTTTTTTTTTTTTCTTTTTTTTTTCTTTTTAAAAGAATAATAATAAAAAAAAATATTGGCTCTTTTTTAGTCTTTCCCTTGTAATTCTGGCATTGGTAGAACACTGACTGAAACAAAACATGTTAACCCTTTCCCTACTCAATCCATTTTTTTTCCTTTTGCTTTATTCTTCTCTCTCCCTTTGCTTAACCTCTCTTTTTCAGACGTAAAACCTTCTGAGGAGCAAGATCTTTCAGACTTGAGTTTGTGCTGTGCAGAAAATAAATGAAAAGTTTGAAAATATTCGTTGTCTTTGTGTAATCATGAATGTAATCATCATACTTGGCACTCTAAGTTTCTCTTTTTCAGCATGCTTTTGGCAACATTACTTTTATTCATCCCATGGCATAAAACCAAGCCAATGTTTGTTCTGGCATGGCCTGTTGAAACAATGGTGGCAGCTATCAGCACTTCCATTCTTGGTACTCATGATTTTCTTAGGTGTCCAGCTTTGCATTCAGTTTTGAAATATTGAGGTTGAGTTGGTTGTAGTTGTTCTTATAGGTATTGAGTGTTGAGGTAAATCCCTGTGACCCATAGATACTTTCTGTGACCAGGGCTGGGAGGGACTTAAACGTCAGCCCTAGGTAGAAAATCTGCTATCATCGAAAGTTCAAGGTTACAGA